TTACCGTGCTAGCGGGTGGGACAAACCCGTTGTCCACTTAAGAGTTAAACAGTGGAAGCTATTAATCTTGTTTAAACTTTAAATGAAAGAATTTTCTATTAAAATTATATTTAGGGATAGTACATCAAAACAAATGAAACAAGTGAAGAATGTGACATTGATCAGTGGGCTTTAGCTGGCAGTTTCACTGATAAAGGTTATGAGCACTGTTGGCTGTTCTAGGCCAAAACCTTAGTTTATAGGGAGCACAGGGTAGGACTAAGTGACTTGAGTGACACAAGGTTTGCACTTCCAGACTAAACACAAATACACGGAATGCCAGTGGCTGCTAGTTACTAAATGACGGAACTGAATGGAACGCGACTGTCGTTAGTTGTGCAAAAATTACTCTGAATCAAAATGAAAATAATTAAATTGAGTTAGACGTTACTGAAAAATAATGAATTAAAACACAGACTGGTTGAGTGATAAAAGGTCAGATGCCTTCCGGCAACAATGAAATGATCCACATCTTGAGAAGCTAGCAGAGATAATGCCCGCTGCATTCTGTTTTCTTTCACTTATAACTTTTTCATGTAATGTTTTATAAGCCGTTACAGCCTAATATTTTTAAATATTAGGTTTTCAATTATATCACTGCCGAGTTATTTCGAAAACTTGATTGTTTTTTTCTTCAATTAACATATTTGAACGAGATGAAATCCTAAGTAAAAGATGTTTATCATTAGTTTGCCTCAAGGTCAATTAGCGATGTAAGAAATTTCAACTTGTCGACACAGAAGTCGTATTTGGACCTTTAAATCTGAAATAAATTTACTTAGTTAGGAAACACATTTTTCAATCCTAAATTGAAATAAATTACCGCAATTCAAAATCATCTCACGCAGGTGAAATATCCAAACAACAAACTTGAATAGAACTAACGGTGTTTGACAGTTGATTCAACAACTGCTATTATTTGCGTCGACCTCAGTTGTCTAGTACATGTAATAATGTCCTGTTCTGGCGCATTATTACGTTATTAAAACAGGGTAGGACAGAGGAACTTGCTTATTGTATCAGCCTTCCTGAAGTCTGATTTGCTACGATAACTTTAAGGAAGGGCTTAATCATGAGCACAAACTGTAAAGTTTTATTTACATGATGAGCTGCATTAATTTATTGTCTTCTTTCTTTGCAGTAGTCGTGAAATGGGAGGACGTGGAACGTGCTTTTTCTTTTGAGGCATATTTTCCTGTGGTAAAGAAATAATCGCCACACAGCGAGCATTTCGTCCGCACTTCCATGTTGCACCAATCGTTTCATGGGTAAAGAACTTCAGGGAATCTGGAGATGTGAAGAAGAAGCGTGATCGCAAAATGACTGCAAGATCTCCGCAGAACATCGAGGCACTCCATCTTAAGGGCTCCACGACAATCTGCTCGCAAACATGCATCAGCTCTTGTGGTTACCAGCTCGTTCTGTTGGATAGATCCTTAAGGCCCTGACTGAAAGCCGTGCGAAGTCTAAGAGCGAGGTTTTCGCGACCATCGTGTAAAATCCTTGATCTGTCCGAAGCTCGGCCTGTCGCTACCCTCGAGCTTGTACTCTTTGTAATATGATATCAAAAGTTTACATATTTTTTGTTACTGATCACCGTTTATAAATAAATAGATGGGTAAGCATGGAAAAATCCATATTGCCATCTCATTTGCGAGTGGAGTAAAGTCTATCCTAATTAGTGAAGAAACGCATAGGGAAGAGCCGAGCCTGTTAGAAGCCATGCGACCTTCAACCAGGGCCTTAATTCTGCACGGAGGTCATGCAGAAAGTTTCCTAAGCTCGTCTTACAATCGCAGACCTACTCGACCGGCAATAAACTTTACTCGGGGTTCCTCATTCAATCAATACAATGTCATTCAAAGGATCAGCGGTCGAGGAGACGAAGGATCTCAAACTTACGTATGCAAGGCTTATCTAGAATGGTATTATGAAAACCATGGGACTGGACAGCCAATTAGAAACTCGCTTGCATCTTTTGTTTCCATTCTGAGTCCGTTGCCTTCAATATTCTGCTCTGTCTTAAGTGATTTCGAAAGTTTTAGCTGTTATAAATTATTCTAGATGCTTTTACTCCAATGTTTTGACCGTAAATGATCTTATTGGATAGCTAAACAACTTATTATTGATAAATTTGTCATAATGACCAACAAGATTGAAAACATCAACATTGCCAAATTCGAAGGACAACCTGTTTTGATTGAATAGGAGTTTTATAGTGTCATGTGATTTATAATATAAATAGAGGAAGCTATTTATATAAACTAATAAAATTTTATTTGTCTCACTCTGGAAAAACTGCAGTTGACAGATAGCAGCATAAATAAACTATTGTTAAGCTTGAATATACCTTATTTTGTTTTCTTTTGATGGCAAATAATTTTTACTTTAGCTTTATTCAATTTCATTTCCAACTTTGCCTTAAGATTCAGTGTCTCTTGATTGACAAGTGTGCTTTCTGTGTTCACTGCCGTCAATGCCACAAACGTTTCCACAGCACTTACATATGTCGCCGGCCTTCTAAAGAAATGGGATATTTTGTGAACAAAACTGAACCACAACTTTCTAGCACGATCATAACAGCTTTGTAATTATTGTGTTAATCAAACCCCACAAATAGTAGTTCTGACTAATATTGTACGGTTTTTAGGCATGAGAGACGAATTGTGTGGGATTGACAATATATTCTTGCACGAGTTCGGCAACAGGCAATGGGCCTATTTCTTCAGTGCCGACACTTCTATTCTACGAGTTAGCTTTGCTATTCACCCTCTCTCTTAGTCATTCCAAAGAATATTTTTATGTTAATTTAAATGGAAAATATTCACTTATGGTAAAATAAAGCATTTAATTAGTGTAAAGCATGTCCAACATCCAATGGAGATAGGAGCAGCTCAAGCCTCCAAGATATCTCAACTATCATCAATTCCATGAAAAAGTCCACAACCATACAATAAAAGTTGCACCCGATTAGTAAACTATGATTTTCAAGGAATTTGTTGTTCTGAAACAGTTGAATGTCATCATTTTTCTCATATTCAAATAGAAAAATTTGATAATGCATTATAATTCATAGTCTGCATATCATGCTAGAAAGGTTTTCAAAAAATATAACTCAGTACTCACTGCAGTGAGTGACAGAGAGCGCATTTTCTCGTCGACGAAAACGTGAAGTCACGGACAGACGGACGGACGGACAGGACGAGTACAATAGCGCCTTTTTTCCATAAGTGAGAAAATGTGCTAAAAAGATACAAAAATGATCATTCAATAGTCACGCATGCATCATAGAATGTAGGAGCTTGCAATTTCTTTTGAATAATTTATTCACAGTTTATTTGATTAATAGCTATGATACCTCATATTCACAACAAATTTTGTTTTCATGCTTCTCATATGGTGGAAAATATACTTAATAAAGTAGTTCTGAATGAATAATGAAGTAATAGTGAGATATAAAATATTACTGTGAACCTCGGAGGAATTAAACAGGTAAAATAATTTAGCAGAGTGTCACATGAGTACATAAATTTACTTGATGTTAATGATCCCATATAAAAATGAATAAATTAGGGCTTGAGGATATGAAAAACTCAAAGCTGATTATGATGTACATGATTTATAAAAAATGAAAAGTGAGTTTCTAGTTAAGCTTTGACTACAGTTTTTTCTTTATTACCCTAATTTATGATATGTCTATATGTTTATGCAAAAGTCAGAGCTCTCATTAACTATTTCATCATTCGATCCTTGGTTAGGTTACCAAAATAGTGGTTAATAGTATGTATAGTGCTCATTAAGTTGACAGACTTTCTAGAGCTGACATTAAAACATTAAAAAATCTCCGTAATATCGTCTTGGTCCAGTAAACATTGTCTAGCTCCACTCAATTAGAATCATTTTTATTTAGACATCTGCGGGAAAACTGTAAAAATTCAAGACTAATATTAGTTTTTAAAAACTACAAATTACCATTCGTCTAAATAATAATTAACGGGTTTAACTTAGTGCGATACCAAAGAGTCTAGACACTAGAGTATAAATTGGAGACGGTGAGTGTAATGGACAAAGAAATCTTTTGAGTAGAAAAAATTGTTTGCTGGGCAGGCTTTACATAATTTTGCATCGAAAATGCATTTGTACTATAGAATAGAGAGATTAACATTTGCGTGCAATTTATAACGTAAATATAAACCAAATTAGCCCTTGGCAGAAAAACGATTGAAATTTATTCACTAATGGCACGGTTATAGATTATTGGTTTGGATTTGAACAAAAATTTTCCATATTTCGCCCTTTTATAAGTGACATAATATGATCTAATCGCTTTATACTTTAAAAAGTTATGCGTAGCTCCACTTACGCAACCTCCGAGTTGTAAAGATACCTACAATTTTTTGACGTAAATCTAAGCCGAAATGTTTTGAAAAAAAACGCCGTTTCGAGTTACGTCTACTTAGCAATAATTATGCGCTGCGTAAGTCGCTAGGTGTACATAACGGTGTGTTAATAATCCGGCCCCCGGCGGGTTCCCCCAATCCAATCCACAATCTAATCATGTGCCATCCGCCTCTTTCCTCGCCTCTCCTTCATTTCTTTCTCTCCTTCCTCTTGCTGGACATTCTTTGCCCCTTCTGCTTTTTCCATTCTTTCGTTAAGGCATCGCAGAACATCCATCACGGCTAGAAATAGGCAAAACTGAATATATCAGGCAAACAAAAAACACCTTATTTGTTTAAATCAACAACGCTCCACCTCTATTTATATGAGACTAGGCAAGTTGCAAGATTCATTACCTGGTCTAATCCTATTAATCTAATCAATCCACTTCAATCCAGTTGAAGAGAATACTAATCCAGCAATCTAATTATCCAGTTCAAGAAAATACGATATGATCTTTAATATCCGTTCAAACTTTTATCCGAATGATTAATTTATCACAAAGGCGGTGTCAAAATATTTCACTTCTTGTAAGCCTCCCTTGCAGTTTTGGGCAAGCACTCCGCGGTCGCGTCGTCGGCCTGGCGTACGAGGTGCGAGAAGAGCGAGTCGCGGTCCAGCAGCAGCGTGTAAGGGGCATCCAGCTCCTGTCGTGGTAAAGATCTTCTTGGAGCGATGGGTTTAAGCAGGAGTAGGTGCAGTTTTAGGTATACTTTAACTACGCAACTTGTAAAAAATTACGTAACTTTTGTAAAATTCTCTCTACTTACTGAAACAATAAAATACTTAAAATCGGTGGTTCCCAAACTTTTTCAGGCTGGCCCCCCCTTTGGCTCCCTAGTGAATTTCTAGCGCCCCCCACAGACACATATACAAACATACGCCTCAGTCTAGAAATTTAGTACGCTGCAACTTTAAAAGATAAAGGTTAAACGCAAATGTTTATTTCGCAAATAGAACCCCATTTAGTAAACCAATATGTTTTTCAGCAGTTTTCACTGTTTCAGCACTAGAAACCTAGGACGTCTCGGGCAAATTTACGGCCGGTCTCACGGCCAATTTCCAAGTTCAATGATCAAGGAATATCTCCCAAACTAATGAACGCAGCTCAATGAAACTTGGAACGTGTATTCACCAGAACCTAACGGTGATGTTTAGCTCGTGAAAATTTTTTAAATTTCACCTTTATTCATGAGTTATATTGCGATACAGGCCGAAATTCGCAATGATCAAAGAATTTCTTTCCAACTACTTAACAGATTTGAACGAAATTTGAATAAACATTCCTAACTACCAAACGGTGGTTTTTTTAACTTTCAAAATAATTTTCGATTTACCTTTATTTGCGAGTTTTTTTTATTTCACAGTCATTCCTGATTTCACACTTCCTTATATTCGGCCCGTATCGCCGGGTAATTTGTCGCTTAAATTCACGGCGATCAAGAAATTGAACAGATTTCATCGAAACTTTGTTATTAAATATGTAAACTCCCAACGGTGTTATTAGCTCGTGATAATTTATATATTTTGCTGNACATTACCGTCCGGTAGTTAGGACTGTAAACTCAAGCTTTCGTTCGAATCTGTTCAGTAGTTTGGAAGAAATTCCTTTATCACTGTGAATTTCGGCCGTATTGCCATATAACTCTCAAATGAAGGCAAAATTCAAAAAAATTTCACGAGCTAAACATTTCCGTTAGGTCCTAATGAATACCTGTACCAAGTTTCATCGAGTTACGTTCATTAGTTTGAGAGATATTCCTTGATCGTTGAAGGATCAAGGAATATCTCAAGGATTTGGACATTGGCCGTGAGACCGGCCGCGAGTCCGGCCGTTAATTTGTCCGAGACGTAAACCCAGGAGAGGTTAAAAAAACAGATCTGGGTAAAAAAAACATCGCTGGGAGTCATGTGCTGCATGCGTTGCGTATAAATCGTCAAACAACGTTTGAACTTCCGACTTCGACTTCGGACTGCCGCCCCCCTACCGCCCTCTTCTTCCTCACCGCCCCCCAAAATCTTTCCACCGCCCCTAGGGCGGGCGATATCTCCCATTTTGGGAACCACTGCTTTAAATCAATCCTCTAGATCATATGATAATTCACAATAAAGTTTGGAGTTTCATTTGCACACATTTAGGCCTGATGATATTAGCATAAGTGTAGCATGAAATTTCCTAGAACAAATTTTAAGATTTATATGAGTGATTGAATCAACATACGGGGCTGAACATTTTTTTCTCATATTTCCTAACTTTTCATGAACCCTATTCGCAAAGAAAATTTTTAGTAAAGTTAATAGTTTTCAAGAACGTACTGATGAACACTGGATAACAATATCACTATTTGTGTCAAAGTCATAAGCTGAGGTATGTAATACTTTATCAAATGGGAATGGGATTAAGCATGAAATTGTGTTAGTTTGGTCCATGGGTGTGAGAGACATAAAGTTAAAATTTGTTCTTGCCATCTGAGTTGAGAACATCTGGCTCCTGCGCACGATCCTTTCTATATTCTCTAATCGCCAGCTGTAGTAAAAATAATAAGTTTCATTACCTGGTTGATGACTATTGGCCAACGCGTATACCTACAATTAATACGTACCAATACTAAAAATACGTTTGATAAATCTCATACATATGTTTCTCTGATCTGAGGAAATACGTAACGTAAATCTGAGATTATTATCTTAGATACTGTCTTACTTGGATTTTTCCATCACTCATCACCATCACTCTTGTGCTGTCCATGATAGTTTGGAGTCTATGGGCCACAGTCAGCACCGTGCATCGCTGGAACTTCTCCCGAATGGTCTTCTGAATCAGCTCATCTGCCCTATAAGATCGTAACTTCTAGTTACAAAATAATAATCTAAATTCATATAATCAAACGAACATCATTTCGATAGACCTTAGAGACTGTTATCTAGGTATAAAGTAAATCAAAGATTTTTAACGATCGAAATGATGAATGATGAGGCCGTCAGATTTTCAATCATAACAAAATCCATTCTCTGGATTTTACTGGAAATAATTACTAAATTTGAGTTCTAAAAAACTGTAGGAACCAGATGAAAAATTAAACTTAATTCTTTAGTAAAATTCATGCATAAACTTTTTGAGTGCAAACTTTTAGCGGCATATTGTTAAAGTTCATAATCGTTCATGGACGATGTGATTCGTATTGAAGTTCAGACGGATCCAGTCGATAGATTGGAAGAGAAAACCCAAATTAAATTGTGAAGTTTTAACGTGTGCCTCTAAGAAATGTACCTGGTGCTTAATGAACTTTGATGTCTCCATGCAGGACACGAAAGTCTCTTACCTATATACGAGTACACTCGCCAAATCCTGCTGATTGCTGTACCTTCATGCTGCTCTTTTCTTTTAAAGACATGAACCATGAATGTGAGTAATAAGCAATGCGCTAGCTCTATTTCTGCCTGTTCTTACTTCATCATTAATTACACTCATAAATACGCTATGTGATATTACATTCTAAAACAATTAGTGAAAAACGAACTCCATATTTAGCGACAATCAATTCTCACTTTGAGTCGACGTTGGCGGTTGCCTCATCGATGAGCAGGATGCGGTTGTGCGAGAGGATGGCGCGAGCCAGACACACGAGCTGCCGCTGCCCCACACTCAGGTTGCTGCCGCCCTCCTCCACAGTCTGATCCAGACCATCGGGACTCGCCTGTACCGCCTCCTTCATTTGTACCTTCACAGTTTGAACATCCAAAGAACATTAGTTGCTCGAGTGATAAAAAACTCTTCAGAAATTTCAAGCGCAGTGTTTGAGCACATTATTCACTTTTTAAAGCTCCCCTAAGCTCTGATAACTGATAAAAATTAAAACAATCATAGCAGAACAGCCATATTCCACTGTCCCTGACGGAAGGATTTAAACTAAACTGACGGAAGGATTTAAAAATAACGAATAATCGGCTCATGATAACTTCGTGATTTAAATAAGGCTCACTTTTCCCAATGAATTTCTATCACTTTTCCCAATGAATTTCTATGCGCGGGAGATCTTAATTTTCGAGCTCTACATAATATGATGTGGCGAATTGAATAATGCACAAATAGCTCAACTCGACTACCATACCTCGTTAAGTGCATTCCATAGTTGCTCATCTGAGTACTCGTTGAAGGGGTCTAAGTTCATACGAAGAGAGCCATTGAATAGTACAGGGTCCTGTGAGGAAAATACACATTTTTCGATAGTGCAAATATAGTATTCACGCATGTGAAATTGTGAAATGATTTGTATCATTTGACTTTAGCAAAGAAAATTGAAAAGTCAGAGAAAAAGTATCAATTTAAAGTAAAATTAATTTAATAAATTCGAATTTCTAATTAATTAATTATTCCTCCCCATCTTGTAGACGAAAAATGCGATTTAAGCAACGTACTAGGTTATCCTAAAATCAGGTTATCCTCTCATCACAAATAAAAATCCGTGCAATTCCCAAATGTCCCACCTGAGGGATGATGGAAATGTTCTTGCGGAGAGTGTGCAGTCCGAGCTTGCCGATGTCCACGCCATCGATGCTGATCTGTCCGGTGGGTTCCGTCAAGCGCAACAAGCAAGAGATGAGTGACGACTTACCTGCCCCTGTACGGCCCACGATGCCGATCTGAAATAAACAAATAAAATAAACGGTAACTATGACAAGTTATTATCGAGGAGAAAATTTGTATCCTCATAATTAAACTCATAACAGCTGCCTATAACGCATTCATTTCACTACACACTTGAACAAGTACAATATGAAAAAATTCTACATATTTTGATGAAGTCGTTCCTGAGTTTAGCTTTAATCTTATAGCTGAGAAATACGGGCATTAAGAAATCGCCATAGAAATTAACGCAGAATTTCTCATTTATTGATCAATATAAGTTTTAATTATTCAAGCAAATTTTGACTGTTTTTTTCATTGTTTTTACCCGAGCTTCGACACGAAGGAATTTTACCTAAAAAAAACATTTGATTGAATTATGGGAATATTTCTTGGTATTTTTTCAGTAAATTTTAGTAAAAGAGTGGTTTACCAATCACATTATCTTGATATTTTATATTTATATTATTCTGATTGGCACACACCATTTCATAAAAATTTATAAAGTCGACGTACTTTTTCACCTGATGTGATGGTAAATGAGATATTCTTCAGAACCAGGGGCTGGTTTTCCTCATAACGAAGGCTCACGTTCCTGAAGTCAATTTGTCCAGTGGTTGGCCAACCAGGCTTTATGTTGGCGTCTGAAAACCAAGCGTTACAAATTTTGACAAAATCTCTGAATCATAAGAAATATTTCCTTGTATATTTTGCTGTACTACTATTTGAATATTCGTCGAAACACCAAATAAAAGCAGGTGACAGAGCCTTTGCTCGGGTTAGTTTTTTACAAGCAACTCAACATATATAAGAAGATCAGCAAATTCGGTTTGGTTTTAAAATAATTATTATTCAGATTTTCCTTATAACCTGTTTATTATACCATGACAAAGCAACGTTTTATTTTATAAGAATAAAATGATAATAATAAGATGGTAATTTGGGTGTGCCCTCGACCCACAAAAATTACCTTTCATACTCTTAATACAGAGATTTAAGATGAATTTTAATATTGAATGTAAATTAAAAATTTAAAACTTTCCTTCGAGTTTGTTGGATCATAACATCCTCAAATGTTTAATTGATTCATGGTGTACTCGATAGCCAGCAACTTTCATTGAAAGTTATTAACATTTCCAGACGTGCTTACAACATGCCAGGGTATTTTGTTTCGCTTGCGTCAAACCACCTATAAGTTCTTACAAAAATTCGGTGAGGGTTACGTGAATTTATGTGAGCCATTGAACAAGTGACATTTAGTCATAATACATATTAATAAACCATCCTTTCATTACGGCGAACTTGGGTTATAATCGTTCATTGGACTCGACTGTTCCATTTAATGCATTAGCTTCAAGACTCTTGACGTTCCCTAGTTTACATCAACCCTTTTCCCTATAATAAGCAATCATTCAATATAACGACATTGGTAAAATAGTTTTGAAACAGGTTATCAGAGCTGAAACACGTTAAGTGCAACACATATTTATGAGTGGAATAACGGCACTGACTAGTATAAACACAGAAGTTGTCAGCTCGAAAGGGAAGATGAGAATGACTCTAGGCTCAAAAGGTGCCTATGCAAAAGATTGGCAAAATGGAATAATAAATCTGGAACATAGTTAACGTGATATAATAACCTCAAACTGTCCTGTAGTTGGCATGTCTTGAGCTTAGTCAATACATGATACAGAATGGTGGAGGATACCTTATAGTTTGATAAACATCAAATTAAGTAGATGGCAAAGTTCCTCTACACTGACAAAAATCTCATAACGCCTAGGATTCTATTTGGAGACGTTACACTTGGCTTGGAGTTTTTTGGGTCTGTTTGGCCACTCGATCTGTGCGACTGGTCTGACTTTAATAACTTTGTTTAGTCTTGAAAGAATGAAAATGGTTGGCCAGGCCAAATTGTTGTGAGCTTTAAAACTGCCAGGAGGCTACATTTTCAGCATAGGACCGCAGTGGACTTTAGCCGTATAGTTTCTGTGCACATCTTAAATAAATTCGTTCAAAATAATAAGACGAATGGACTTTTGGCTATTAGAATATTCGTAGGAATTTTGTGAAAGAGCATCAGGTTGCCCTTTGCTCTACAACAACTAGTCTCTTAATGTCCTACGCCTGATTTCAGGTCAAAGAACTTATTTATTGAATTATCTGCATATTCATCAACTTTTTCCTATTGTGTGGAGACAAAATTTCTTGAAGATGAAATTCCTTAATATTCCAAAATTTCATGCCGCTAATTCCAGAAATGAACAATATTTACAAAGTTAACAACAAATTTTTAGCGATATCATGCATGGGAAGTAAATAACAGCTCCAATACTTTACAACGTGTTTGACAAACAATAAATTGAAGTGATACAAATAGTGTTGTAGACATGACGTACTATAATACGGATACCTGAAATGTAAATTTTCTGAATAAGCATGATATTTTCCTAAGTTTGTCAATATTCGGAAGTTTTGCTAAAAATATAAGTTTGTTAAAAGATAAGTAGTGTTGTTGTTACAGTACCGCTAAAGAAACGTGAAAAAGTTGTGGCACAGAGTAGCCAGATAGAAAAAGCACAACCGAAAAAAGATTAGGATAGGAAAGATGCATAGCGAACAATTATGTTTGTTATGGTGCATATGATTTAGTTGGGTTTAGAGAGATAAGAAGAGAACGGGAAAGTTTGCCCGAGGAGTGAAGGGAGAGTCGATATTTTTTATTACCTAAGAGCACCTGCTCTTTGGAAAACTTCTGCTCTACTGCGTGACTCGCCTACGTCCGAGATCAGTGGGGCCTCTGGCTGTAATGCGCTGAGATTCAGCACCCGCTCCACAGAAATCATTTGGTTCTCTACTTCGGCCGACTGTCGAACGCCCCACTGAAGAGTGTTGGTGAGCATCAGTGCGCAGAAGATGGCCAGTCCAACATCACCACTGCGGTGGCCTGTTTGCCGCATTGACGATCGTCAATCATGTACAAAAATATCTGAATTCAAATAATTTTCATATGAAGTTCTATGTGTAAAATTATATATAATGCTAATGTTATTTAGTTCAGATTTGCAGACTCCTATGTCCAAGGGTATACAGACCTGCTAGATTATGAAATTACCAAATATGAATATGAATTACGCAGATGAATCACAAACAAAATTTTCTTTCCAAATCTTTACATATGAATTTTATAGAACTTAATAACATTGCGTATGGTACCCAAAAGACTGATTAAAGTACTGAATAAGCAAAATTTTCATCTATTTGCGTTTGAACTACTTTTAGAAAAGTACATGAAACATATCAAATCATTTTAGGTTGCTCGATGCACCTTGGCCGTCCGGATAGTTTACATAATAGTCGTACATGTCAGAAAATTAACCCGCTGTCATCAATAGCTTAAAAACAGAAAAAAGGCAAATTATGCTAATGGCTTTTTCTTACGTATGTTAAACAATTGAGAATTTCGTTAGGAGAAAATCATGAGTAGAAATTGCATCAAATGTGCCCTATTATTCCTTAATGTTAAATTAATTTTAACGATATCATACGAATGATTGGGCAGATTTGCTCGAGAAACGAACCTTGATCAGCGATACATGTGATGATGACGCAAGCGACGAAAAAAGCTGAAAGGCCATCAAGTGAAAATCCGTACCATTGCGTCGTCGCTGTAAGAATTGAAAACGACGACGTGTGGAAATCCTGCGCATCGAAAAATATCCTACGGTCAACTTTGTCAAATATGGCATCTCCAACCCAGACTCATTGCATTCAAAATATTCGAGAAATCAAAAATGTTGAATCTAGAGCGAATTGAAGTAATCGTTGAATTTTTTTCACATTGCACTAAGCACCATATCGGATCAGGCACACGACTCTGTTTTAATCCGCAATCTGCAATTAAAAATTTCCAACCGTCCTGTCCCCATCGGGTAATATTATTTTTAATTTTTGCCTCTATCAGAAGCCGTTTTTGTAACGAATGTTAGGATATTAGAGATAACACATCCACTCTATACTAGTATAGTAGAACTCTGCCATAACACAAATGAACTTTCCATGCATAGAATACATTCAATGTTCAATGCATAGTGTATTTGTTTAAAAAATATAAATTGCTTGAGACAAATCGAAAAACCTGTGTGTAAGATTTTAATTTGATGTAAAATTACGACGATATTAGTTAATCTCGATTGAAATAATAACTGAATGGCGGATTCATTAATTTCATTGCTAATTAGTGCAAATTTGTGAATTTCAATATTAAATTACGAGAAATTTATACTCATTACAGCGCTGAACCGGAAGTTTTTTTCCACTTTGGGGCATAGACTCTAGTACGATGATGAGTTCTTAACCCCGTGCCAAGTGACGGTAATTTTCATTCTGAGCATTTAGGTACTGGACTTCTGATCAGAATAACATTTTGAAAAGTTCGATTCTTTAAAATGCTAAAATATAAATGTTCATATAAGCAGGTTCAGTCAATCTACGTTAGTTTGGTATTGGGTGGTAGTTCTGGTGAGAGGTACATGGTATGATATCAGATGTACCTTTCTTTACTCGTTATTTTGAAAGTTCACTTGCTATGAAAGCTCATTTCGGCCCCTTTAATTGGAATTTTCATTCAATCTAAATGTTCTGCGTTGGAGGCACAACAAAAAATGATGAATTAAATCATAACGTAGCCTAGCTGTGGTACACTCTGAATGCTCCACAATTTTTTTTAAATAATAGCGTTGGTAAATAAACTTAATTATTAACGACGTTTCGAATGCAAGAAAAATTCATTTTCAAGCTAGAAAAAGCATTATATATTGAAATTTAGGTGGAAATATGGGTGACAATAGGTTTGCAGTAACAATATCCTATTGACATAATATATGTAAATAGGATACAACAGTAAAATTTTGGACCAAAAATTACTCGGAAAATTCTTCCAGAGTTCAGACAAATCCGTGACACCCTTAGCAACAAAGTCAAACCCCGGACTATACCGAACAACGGCTCCTGCAAAAAAAGCGAGAGTTTTCCAAGAGGCTGGTGTATTGAATAAATTTTACTTCAAAGAAGGTTGTAGACTTTTTCACGTTATGGATTACATTGGAATTATTGGAGTGACAACTGCGACATTGAACAACCGTTTCTCCTACCACCAGAGACAAGCTCACAACCATACCAGATCTCAAAGCAGTATCAAAAAGCAAGTTGATAATGCCAAACATCAAATGTAAACGTCAAATTCCAAACTAAACGCAACAAAGGCCCCTGTAAGAACGCGGGAGTTATCCGAGAGGGCGGTGTAGACTATAAATTTTGCTTCAAAGAATGTCGTAGACTTCTTCATGTTTTAGACAAATTGGACTAACAGTCAAGACACCGAGCCGCTGTCTCGTTAGCTACCTTCAAACTGGAGGGCAAGTTAACCACACGAGACAAGCTCACAACCAGACCGTCACTCGCATTGTGCTGAATGAAGTCACCAGCATCGTGATCATGCAGTGGCCCGACAAAACCGACCGGCGAAAGCTGAACCCTTTATCTCTACAGATTGGACTCCAGCTATATATTTTCTGACTATCGTATTTGTCAGAACTGTGAAAGAATTTTCCGAGTAATTTTTGGTCCAAAATTGTACTGTTGAATCCTATTTACAAATATTATGTACTTAATTCCACCAAGATTTCAATATATATTCCTCCTTCTGGCTTGAAAATGAATGTTTGTTGCATTCTAAACGTCGTTAATAAATAAAAACTATTTCCTGAAACTTGCCTTTCAATCTACCGTCATCTGAAGAATTGTTCCACTCATGATAATATAAATTAACGAATTCTCTGGTCATCAATCGCACGTTTATAGTCTTATTATGTACATTTACATTGTCATTTTGTTTACAAATAGATGTTAATTGATTAATCACAGAAACTTGCACGCTTGAAACCTTTTAGCAAGGAAACTGATCGGTGACAAACTTTCTCATTCAGGATTCAGATATTTATTGGTTTTTGTGATCAATTTGAGAAGTTCTTTCATATTGCGACTTTATTTTGTGATGATATTATGTGATTCATTGTTAATTTCATATCTTACTATTTAGTTCGATCTTTGATTTTAAACCGTCATTATTTTCAGATCCATTTTACGCGAGTATTTATCAAAGCCAAAAATCCGGACGCTTTTCAGTCCTTCCGCTTGTTAGGCCAAATAAAGACTGTGCCAGCGTAAGTGGAGCATCTTGTGCAAAATTTATCTCGATTATTTACAAACGGATCAATTTGAAACTTGGTACACATATGTAAAACCGAATCCTAAAGCATTTTTGTTCGTGTCAATTTTTTCGAAAAATGAAAGAAACCGTGAAATTCTTAGAAAACGGGCAAAAAAAGGGGTACTGTAGAAAACTATCTCCTCCTAGGATTTTCGAGCTACAACATCGAGACGCATATCATTCGATGCGTAAAGACCATATCTATCGATTCGTCGTAGCTTTTTTCTAAATTTTAATTGTTGTGGTTGGGGGAGCATTTTTCATAATTTTTTCGAAAAATGTTCGATTTCCCCCTATTTCCCCCCCTTTTTCAAAATAATTTCAAAACTACAACGAAATTGAAAAATCTACGACCAATACCTAGATCTTTTATTTGTGAATCGAACGGTATATCTCTCATTGCTGTAGCTTAAAAACTCTAGGAGGAGATAGGTTTGCAGTGCCATTAAGTGTGAATGTTCAGGAGAGCGCCACAAAGTCCCGCGCGCCTCGAATAGACATTCGACGTTGCAACGATGCAAGACTAGACGATAGTGGAGCTCAATTACTGTCATGGATGGTGCGAACGACTGCACGAGAACCATCCCGCACGACTGCAGCCGGGTAACTAAAGCGTAGCGTGTTCAGACTGGCTATTTAAGTGTTCTGCCGGTAATTTCCGCCTATGTTAAATGGCGAAGAACTCCACCACCCCTAACCCTTTTGCGATCTGTCGTGAACGCATAAATCAACGTACAGGGAAGGTTTTGGTACCGTTGGATAGGTCAGAATGTCAGCTTTAAGATGAGACTAAAAACTGGGACAGCCAAAGTCCAAAATTTTTGGCCAGACGTAAGTCTGGCCAAAGTCATACCTGAAGTCTTGGTAAGTCATACCTGAAGATGATCGAAGCCCTTGACGAAGGAGCGCTGGGTACGGAAGGCCCTAATGGTGGTCAAACCGTTTAGAGATGTGCTGAGGTGGGAGAATACCGGACTGCGCGCTGCAGCAAAATTATTGTTGGCGTTTGTACTAAGAGCTTATTAATTACGGTGACTATCGAACGCCTGATTATTTCTAGACATAAATAGCACAAGTTCACGTACAAATATATGCAAAATATTGACGAAATGTTACCTACTTCTATGCTTATGCTTGACACCACATTTTTTCAACATGTGGTTATTTCAGAGCTATTTTTTGTTAGAAATCACACAGAAGTCAAGTTAGAAGTCACATGTTTTATTCAAATCTTGTTGAAATAAAATCCTGGACTATTTCATGAATTGCTAAAACTGCTGTGAAGATATCGAATGTCTTTACTTGAATTAATCAGCCCCACAATTTTCGTGGTCTTCCATTTTTAGTCGTCTATTAAATTCTAACAGAAACGATCAAAACTAAAATCCCAAATTATTACAGCGTAAAGAAAAACGGAGTATGAATGTACAATACTCAGTTGCGCTATAAAAAATATATTGAGAATTAGAACACACCTGAGGTATCCGGCAGCAAAATAGCAACGGATTCGTTCAATCACGCATCCGTGATGAAATGAGCTTAAAAAATGTATCAGAGCTGAGGAATTTAAATTAGTATTTCATAAAGTTGACATGTATTCCCGCAATTTTTTCGAGGTATAGTGAGAAATTATCCGTAGAAGCTTCAAAGTAAGAGCTCAAAGCCCTGATCAGAAAAGATTGTTAGTATTAGATGGATGCGTTAAACAATGTTCAACTCTCACTGATTGCTTCAAGCCTCCTGATGTCTCGAGCGGTGTGCAAGTAGAGACGTCGCAACAAAATAAGCACGACGACGAATACGGCGGTTGGGATGAACATGTAGGGGAAGACGAACCCGATCAGTGCAATGATTCCCACTGTGTTCAACGATATCTGGCGATAAAAATACAAATGTGCATGCTGGGATGAGCCAAAATAATAACGCGTTTCTGATTAGACAAAAGCTAAAAAAATGATGATTAGCAATAATGCTAACATAATGCAAATATTGTTGTTATTGTTGTGGTATCACTAACGAAGTAGGGAAATAACAATATTTGATGCAGAGTTATCAGAAAGAGGAAGAAGAAGAAATGTAGAAAACAAGAACAAAGCGAAACATTAAAACCTCGTTGAAAGCTTGCGTAACAAGGTTTGGGTGGGAAGTTACGCTGGCTTACGTGGTTTGAAGGTTTTCAATAATAAAAGATAAAAAATATGATATTTGAGATGCAGCTGTATATTTGGCATTAAGACATTGTTATATTCAAATTAGTTGTTTAATCCAATTCACTGCTGAAGTGGAATATCGAAACGAGAGACTTACTGCCAAAAAGTCCCATAAGCACGTCGGCATTAGTTCATCAATTTGTCCCATATCTTTTGTGAAGCAATTTAGCACATGACCTGAAATTTTATTAAAAGACTAGTTTCAAAGCTTTTATTAGGAATTAAAGTAAGTTTTGTCTCTCACTAAATATGATTGAGAAGCTTGCTCACTTTTTGTTTCGATTTCTTCCGTACCTGCTTATACATGCTGATCGTTTAGAATTTATTCATCTCCGAATAATTAATTAATCCGTTATAATTAAAATCAAGGGCATTCATAACGAATACGTCATATTCATCTCTCTTCCTGATTAGACGAATCTACTTCTCTACGGTAAAAACATCCATGTATACATGAAGCAGTTTTTGCGATTTTCACTGCATTTTTCAATGAATCAAAAAATTATTCTAAAAGTATCCAGGTCCTAATGAAATTCAAGCATTTTTATTTAAAAAATAATAAATTATGGAATTGATTTCTTACTAAATAACATCTGATTGATCTTATGAAAGAATAAGTCAATGTTAATTCAATGTCACTATGCTCGGTCTTTTTGCAGTTGTATGGCTTATAGATACCAATAGGCTGGGTATTGAAGAATCTCATGGGCGCGCGCATAACCGCTTGAAACATGTTGTCGTGCAGGCGTCGTGACGACACACAGCACATCATGAAGAATAACATCGTCCGTCCCAGAGACAGAATTAGTACGATACATACCAATGCTGCCCAGAGATCATGAGAAGTTCAGTTTCTTATTATTGATATAAATGTGACCAACGCTCATAATTTTTACGGACGTGATTGGTCTGCTGAACGTTTCAGGGGCCATACTTTCAAAACTCGCTTAAGTGAACGTAAGTACTTACGCTCTATTTTCTTATCTATGATTGGTTGATTTTGCTTGAAAGGCCGTCAACGATTGGCTGTTGAACTTACTATCACTTAACTTTTCAACAGAACTAACAAAGAACAAGCTCCATCATGCTTCCTTGGAAATCCTATTACACGATCTAAAAATTTTCCCCCATTGCCTTAATTATACCGCGCATTCCAGAAATTGGTTGATGACTTAATTACCATACCAAAACTGCTAAACAATTTAGAGGCTACGTGCGATATAATTTGATTCTGAAATACAGTATCACAATGATTAGAATACTCACAACCGAACTAAAATTATCTCAGGGCTGTTATTAAGAAAAAAATTGTAGTCGAGTATTGTTGAATTTAAGATATTCAGCACTGCAAGAATTTTTTTTGCTTCCGGTAATGCTGAACGAATATTTTGAAATATAACAGGTCATAAAAGATCAAACTTGACAGATTTTTCGATATGAAAATATAAAATTTCTAACCATAAAATTAATTGTTCCGTTACTCAATTGACAAATTGCCTGAAATTAAATGCTTCCAAATTAAAAGATTCGAGTATTTTGCATTGATACAGCCCGTTCAGAGGGTTCATAGACAAAATTAATACTACTCATATTTTGAATTTTATTTCAAGTTCGAACCCTAGAGTTGAGATTACTAAGAATGCGAAATACGGACTCAATCGCCAGAATTTGTAAAGTACCGTGATTGAGGCAGTGATTTTGTCCTTTTACGGTCATAACTACATCAAAAGCATTCATAAGAAAGCAAAATTTTGTCAAAAAATTCATTTCAGACTCGGTGGTTTTGAAAGGGCAGCCAATAGCTTTAACATTAATTGCACGGCCACAGCCAATGCCGGACGTAAAGGTTCCTATAAGGAACGCCATGAGAATCTACGAGTTGTTGCTAAAAGTCTATAATTGACGACTGAGTGGTCTCTGCGCTAGCGTCAAAAACATTAGGCTATTGCTACGGGCAGTGTAGTAAAAAGGCTATTGCTACGGTAAATGAAACGGCCGTAAAGACAGGGATAAATGGCGATAAAGAAGAGCGCGGTATCAATTCAATTAAATGACATCAGGAGATCGCGATTAGGATCCATGTCTCCCGACAAAGTGGAGGAAAGGAACGATTTAAAAATCATTTGGGACATCTTATTGTGATAGTATAAATAGTTTAATAATAAATTTATTAAGAGCGCCGATCATTGTGATCAATTTCATGTACCTGGCTTGTCCAGGGTGTTGTGTAATGCAATAAAATGGTTCTGGGCTTCTGGCGGGTCAGCGAGCCAGTGATGGTCGTGGAACTATCGGTGGCATTAGGGCCTGGAATAACTGTCCTATCACTCCTTACCTACGTAGTTGACGCTACGAGGATGGGCAATTTCACACATAAACACACACATCAATTTATTAGAATATATATGATCACAGTAACTTGAACATCCTTACATTATTGCTTTGAACATATGTATATGAATACATATATTTGCCGGTTATTTTGCACTTGTTTCCCAATAATAGTTCTATATTTAGGCTGTGTTTCATACCGCTTTCTTCTTCCAAACATTCTCTTTTAATAAAAATGATGTTGTTTACGATCATCGGAAAATTCCATACGACTCAGTGAAAATACTTTGACGTATACGGAAGCGTTCGGAAAATGAAAAGAGACTTTATGTGAGAAAAATTTCTAAATGATAGGGACTTTAATTCATAACGATAAACTTGAAAAGAAATGAAGACTAAACTCACCGCCGTAGACTTGCGCAAAAGTGAACGACGTGAACGACACGTCAATTTCCAACCTTTTCGTGGTCTGGTTAGTGATGTTGTGGCCGTTCATTGCGCCTTGGTATGTTTGTCCATGCAGCTCATTAGTCCTGAAACAAATATTTAATTCTTAACACCTCATTTATTGTCAAATAAACGTAGAATTAGAGCGTTAGACCATTAAGAGATCTATTCGTAATCAACCCTCAATGTCTTCAATATTTCAGTATCGGTTTTGGTGTTTAGTAATTATTTGACCTCACTTATTGAAATGTTTGTCAAAAATTCCTTATCACATCATGATCAAAACTATAATAAATTTTTTATTCCTACAATAATTCGATTAATGAAGAAAAAACAATGGATTTTGTTTGCGAAATTGCCGTTCTCGGGAAATGACGTCGTCGTTTGCCGACGTTTGCCCTGTCCGACATAAAACAATTTTTATTTTTTGCGAGTACAACACCTTGCTTACGTTAGAGGCTTTAATCTCCTGCATTAAATCTGTTGCAAATTTATAGATTACAGACTAGCTGCAAGTGAAATATCCTCAATGTGTGAATAAAATTTTAACACGGTTCCCGTTAGCATGTATTATATTCTGTTGCATGTTATATTCATTTTTATTGCGGATTCATTAATCGTCACTAAAGTTTTTTTTCCATATATAATCATAATTGGAGTTTTCGCCTGGGACAACAAATTATGCTCGTTAGAGGACTTCACTTCAAACGAAATAGGCATAAATTATTTCGATGTCAGCTACATAAAACTGTCAGCAGAGTGGCATGAAAGGACATGCATAAACGTAAATTTTTTTAAACCATTACGTAGAGCTAGTGCTACTTAAAACCAATGTGTCTTCAAATTTAACCGTGTCATTTATCACAAAATGACTTTAATATTGTTCACATGATCAGCTGATGGTCGCTCACCGTATGTTTGTTGTATTACTACTACTAGCCCTGCAAGTGGCAGTATCACTGTACACTATGCCATTAGCACCTTAACTATAATTGGCCCAAAGTAAAAGCTCCTAAAGCTTAAATCAATTTTTAATAGATGTATAATGCAGCAAAAACAGTTTATAATTTTTAGCGCGCACTAATGTATAGTGCGCCAATCTCATAAATTTGTCAGAAGAGCAAAGTATTAAGCTCGTACGACAAACAGATTTTTCATACAAGTTACGACTTAGTGAATGCAAAGAGCACAACAAAAACTTAAAGTGTATAAATCCGTGTGATCAACTAGGTTAAAATAAATTATATAGAATCGGCAAATAAGTTCTATTTCTAAAAGAGGAAATGAAAGGGTGGTGTCCCTTATTACTAGGACACAAAGTTCACAGATTTCCTAAAGTTACCATTCAGCTAGACAAGCAACAAACTATGCCATTTGTATATTTGATAATGAAAATAAGATAATTTCAATTTGTTTAAAAGACCTGGACGGTTGTGCATGGAATTCGTGAACCAGTCATTCACGTTCACAAATAGAACATTTACCGATTACAGGTAATTCGAGACGAAACCTATTTTAGTCTAAAGTTTTGAATAATCAATGACTCACCATAATGAAAGCCAAAAATCTGATCCCGTATAAGCAACTTGAGTAATGAGGTTGGAGAAAATGAGAAGCGTGATCCAGGCCCAAGATCCGCCATTGAGGAAGTACTGCAGATACACGGCGGAAGAGACTGAGCCCACCGAACGCTGTTCCTCTCGTGCAACGATAGGCATCTCTTCTGTTGAACTTCCATGTCTCTCCTGTTTCAGCTGCGGATAAATTATATCTTTGCCATATAAGAGTTGCATTCAAGATCCTTTCCATACTAGTTAAGCAGTAACGTAATTATCTGTTATTTAATAACATCATTGATTTACAACAGTTATAAAAATAATTAAAGGTGCCAGCAATTGAGTAAATAAATGGTGCCGAGAGTAAATAATTGTTGCCAGCAATTTTAATCTCGGTAGCAGTAGTTTCCATCATACCATATAAACGCAGTTAATCGAGCATCAATAGAGAAGAGATCTGGCAACTCATGATGTTAGTGGAGAGACGAGACAAAAAGCTTGCAGAACAGGAGGAAGAGAATATGACATATCTTTTGCAATTTCAAGAGATTTTGTCCGGTGTCAATCTGGAGTCTCAATATATTCATTATAATTACATTATATGATGTTACAATTTATTATCTAATTTACTCATTAATATTATACGCTTATCGTTTGTCTCGTGTTAGGAGGCAAAGTAGACGCTCGTTAGCTCAATCTTGATTATTATTACCTTAACCTTACCCGAGTGAAGACCTCCTGCTCAAAAAGTATTACTACTTTTGTTAACTCTTGCTTTTCTGTTACTTAATTTGTGTTTGTGCGAGTATGTTTTCATTTTATTTTGTTCCTTTTAATGCATGTTAGAACTTCTTTGTTTCGCTCGTTTAAGATCTTGCTTAACTGGCTTTAGGCCAGTGCTTGAAACCCGTAGGGGTTATTGGCTCCTTGGAGCTTTGGTGTTAACCAATTATGTCACATGCCCAGTGTTGTGAATTAACTGCATGCTTGCATGCGCTTTACTCTCTTTAAGTACGAGCGAACAATCCTATTACTGTTTTCACTATTTTCTTTCTTAAAGTTCTCTTCATGAGAACTCTTATCTAGGATTCCTCAACGGAAACAAATAGGTTGGTTATTTTGATTATCTTGAAAGTGTTATTATTCTGCATTTACTTGAATCATACTGAAATCCATTGCGTTAAAACCTTTAATCTATTAATTTTAGGCTTAAGTTGTTGTTCTGTCTTATTCTGATAAAAATCCACCCAATCGCCTCTACTTGGTCTTCAACTCTGCCGTTTCTGTTTATTTGAACTGAACTACTCAAATTACTTATTACGTTCTGTTGTCACCGGCAATACATGGTGAGAATTGGAGAGAGAGACATTCACTTGCAACAGTGACTCATTCAATCGAAATTAAAAATATTGTGATCTAGACTTGACTTCTAACGTTCGAACTTGTACTTATATGTGCGTACGTATTCCACTATACAGGGCACGAGTTCCTCATCGCGCTTCTCGTGACCTCCTGGCTTCGTTCTGCGAACCAATTATTTTTACGGAACCACTCCAATAAAAGTTTCAACGCTTTCCTTGTTCTTTAATTTCCAATTGTACCAAAATTAAAAAATGATTATATCATATGTAATTTAGACGTAATATTCACTTGATCTGATAGAGGTTGATGGAAATGTGAGTGTCACGTGATGAGTCAGCGTCGGGATGACATCACGTGATAGATCAAGCGATCAAGACCCTATGTTGTGGGCGGAAGCCGAGATCCTATAAAAGGGCTTGGAACCTTAGTAATGTACCACGCAGTTTAGTTGATAAGATGTAACGCGTCAGTTGAGTTCTTCGACCTTTCGGTCAACGCCGTAGCTTATACCTCCATATAATACAGTATATATCGTAACTCTCATGTATAACCACCCCGTATATCAAGATATGTTATCTAGACAGCTGTGTCTTACTTCTCCTTCACGACCTTAGTCACGTATCCCGATCCTCAGATGGCGCTTAATAAATGAGTGTAATAAGTGAGCGCTGATAATTTAAAGAAATCATTGTCAGATTGCCGATGGATAAAAACATAATTTACTAATAAAAATAATAATATAAAGTTGGAGACTTTAATGATTCAAATTCTGATTGAAATTGGAATTAATCTACATGAGAAATTCTAACTGGAATATTTTACTGTTCGAAAACTGTACAGCTGCAGATTTTTGCAGAAACATTGTATTTTTCTAATTTTTTTCCCCTTTTATAGCGCAGCCGCAAATTCTAGAAATTTGAAATAAATAAGTTTGGTCATTCAAAGAGGTTTTTCCTGTTAAAAGAAAAAACTGGCTTCAGTGGTAAAATAACCTCTTTTTAAATGCAAATAAAATGTTCCAGTATTTACTGTTATTTCGCGATGAAGAGCTCCTATACTGGGAAAGGATCAGAGCATTGATCCGACATACAAGAAATCCATTCTTTCGACGTCACAAATAATCCCGTTATGCTTGATGGCCCGGCACTTATGATGAAATCGACGAAAATGTTACATACTCCAACATTGTTTGATTGAGTTCGGTTGTTAAGACGCAGTGACAAATTAAAACAGAAACAAATAGACTTCTCGCTAAACTCAGGATCAGTTCAGATTTTGGACAAGATTCTGAAAGTTTAATTACCGTATTTCTTTCTTGAAGTCGATGAACCGTTTCAAAACCTTCCTCTGACGCCATCAGAACTCTTTTCTCAGTCTCGCTGTTAGTCTCCATGCTCCCGTACTTGGAGGCATTCGATTGCCCTGCAAGACCGAGATTATTTCATGTTTTTATCTTGAATAAAATGAACGTTCGTGTTCGGAAAATTATCATATTATTAACTTTTATAATTTATCAAATAAGACGTGCATGTGAACTTCACATTAAAATATTTGCACGAGCATCAAAAATTTTTTATTTGTTTGTGCTTCAAGTTAAAAGGGTATAATGTGATTTTTATGGTGGGAATTTAAGTTTCGGAGGCGTTCAGTACTGCTTGCGTCTAAGTGTATATGTATTTCTTTAATATAAGATCGGTTTGTGTATATAGGTACTGTGTATTGTGGTCGTATGATAAAATTTCAGGTTTCAAACAAGTTATCTATGACTCAAGCCAAGCCTAAAACAAATTCCTTGGAAAACGGGAGGCTCTTTCCCGACGACAATAGAACTGCTTGAATCTCGGTTATACAAATTATAATCAAATATGACCTTTAAGTTCAAGAGGGACGCAAGAAGAATTAGAAGCAATTGTTATAAAATCCAATTTTTTACACGTATTCACAACGTAATAAGAACAGCGAAAAATTGGTAGGAGCTGGTAAGAAAGATTAACTTTAATATTCGTCGTACCTCGTTGTAGAATATTAACGATGGAACTGGGCGATGAAAATGTGGCTGAGGCGGGACTCAGCTTCATAGCGTCAATCGTCATCATCTCTAGCCCGATGTTGCTCTTCTGAAGTTCGTTGAAAGGGCCAAAAAATGCACACTTCCCCTGTGCAATTACACAATTTCAAGCTGATCGGGTAGTTAATTTTTAACCAAAAATTTCCAGTGCTATTATATAACTTCGAGCTGAGGGATGTTTAACCAAAAAATTCTCTGTGCAATTATTCAACGTCCGAGGTGAGGGATCTTCAATCAAAAATTATTTTGTCAAATACTTCATAACTAATTTCCGCGCATAACTGCATTTGGGCGTCATTGATGGCTCAAAAACCCATTTTATACTTTATTCAGTAACTGCAATTGCCTAGGTATCATATACAATGAGATACTGTGGTTGGAAAGGATGTGCACACGAAGACTTGTGTTCGATAGACATATTCATCGCCTCGCATTGCATTCAACATTTCGTTAATATTTTCGTACATGCAGGACAAATATATTTGGCAATGTTGGAATTCGGAAATTTTGAGAACTATTGTCGCCTTTTCATTTTGTTTCATAATAATAATATTCGATATAAATATAAATTGATTTCAAGACTAAATTTTGTTTTCGGCATGATTAGTCATTTTAAAAAATTTATCCACATTAGCGTGAAGAAAAAATAAATAATTTGCTGTGGGAGAACACTGTTTCACTTTTTCCTATAATGTTACCTTATTCATATAATTAAGTTAATTGGCCTTTCATTGTTATTTACGGTTCAAGCTCGAAAACGAAAACACCAGAAGAGGAAAAGTGATGTTTCATGCCAACCCCAATAACATCTATAAGATGTAGCAGATATAATCAGAGGACAACATGATACCACTGGTTCATTCCATAATTTAGATTGAAGCGAGTCTAAATAAAAGAATCTTTGAATTTTTCTTGTGTAGGTGGAATTGAAACGGAGTGAAGACGATTTTCCAGTTATAAATATTTTAAATGACCGAGCCAGTTCTCAACATTCTTATGGATAATTAATTTGTAGCTATATGGACGTCAAAAAATCTTCGCGCCTTCCATATTTAACACAGAAATTTAAAATTGTCTGTAGAATAACACTAAAAAATTATTTTGAAAATACTCATTTGTTACTTCAAATGAATATCAAACATTATGATACTCATGATTATGATTTCAAAAATCTTGGGTGCATGAATCCCCCGCGTTCACACACTGATTGTAAACTCAGTTCGCATATTTTATTTTATTTTGTAGAAAAATCGATCAAGTTCGTTCATGCATCGTGATATTCCGATGTTTCTCATTCAAGAGAATCGACGGTCGAGCATGATGCTGTAATGGTCTCATCTGTCTGCTCTACATCATTTTTAATCGCGTCAAATCCTCGTAGTTTCTTTTTGAAGAAAATGTTATCGATAGAAAAGAGTTTTCCTCTTACGAGGTTTCCTTTTACGCCTTGTCTTTGCCACGTCTTGAAGGTTTTTTACTTCTAGTGTAGGTAGTTGAATCACATTTTGATTGCCTTTTCAATAGTCTGATTTTTATACCTTTACTGGTGACATTCACAAAAGTGGAAATCAGGCCACAGGGAAAAATGCTTTAGAAATTCATGTGAAAAGACTAATTTCAATCGGGATACTTAGAGCCTATATAAAGTAGAATTAGGATCGGTCTCGGAACTATTTGATTACATAATTTAAACGCATCGTAAAAAATTATGCAATTCATATTTTCAACTTTCCACTGTTCTCTAAATTTTGCATCGCATCTGTTAAAAACATCCTAATTACTTTCAGGCCGACTACTCTAGACGAGAGAAAAAGCTTTCTTGTATCCGCCAACTCATTTACGAATCGTCTGTCGGCTGCGAATAATTTATGCCGTAGCTCCATTAGTATGGTGAGAACTCTTTGGTAATTTATTTATATATGATTGACGATATACTTGTAGTTGCAACACGAATTAAGTCGTTATTTAAATGGGCTCGTAAAATGATTTTTTTGCATGGTTTTAGATACCGGTAAATAAGTATTAAATATTAAACCCCGAAGCCATGTTTTATATACTGTACTTCTACGAACCTAATGAATCAACCCAGGAATCCTTACAACATCCATCATGGGATGCGATGATGCATTACATCCATCACACCACAGAATAATTAGGTTCAGTGCTCTGTACAGAAATCACAAGGCTAATTATTCAGGGGATGTTTCTGCTGCAATTTTTAAATGGAGTCATGGGGAGCGTCTGGCTCCCAGAAAAACTTTTTTTATTTACGGACGGATCACTCCGAAACTTGGTACACATATGTAAAACAGAAATCTAAGATTTTTTTGTTCGTGTCAATTTAATAAAAAAGAAAACGTAAAATTCTTAGAAAACAGCCAAAAAGGCTGTATGGTTTTTAACTCCTCTTATGATTTTTAAGCCACAACATTGAGACACGTATCATTCGATGCATAATGACCATATCTAAATAATTGTGGAGGCGTTTTTTGAAATTCTAATTTTTGTGGGTGTGGGAGCATTTTGTGTAAATTTTTTGGAAATTTTTCGATTTTACCCCTCGCCACCTCCATTTTTGCTCAATAAAATCCAAGCTATAACGAAATTCGAAAAACGCCTGCACAAGTCTCTAGATAATTTCTTTGCAAATCGAATGGTAAATGTCTCATTATTGTAGCTTGCTGTCGCATTACTGTAGCCTCGGTATATGTCTCATTACTGTAGCTAACTGTAGGAGGAGATAGGTTTGCCGTGAGACAGGTAGGAGGTTTTCAGTAGAGGCGAGAAACCGGCGACTGGCGGCGCGAGCGCCATGTAAGGGCATGTAACGTAGCTCAGATACCCAAAGCAAGCGTTAGCTCACTTCAAAGTCAGCAGTGCAGAGGACGACTGCATCGAAACCTCTCCGCGTGCTGGCTACTTGGTAACTGAGCTGCAGGTCCAGTAATAGCACATTAAATAGTGCCTGGTCTGAATTATTCCCCTCGACTTTAGTGAAGGGACCCCACCACACCCCTCCCTTTCGGGATCTGTCGTGAACGCATAAATAGACGTACAGAGATGGTTCTAGTACCGTTCGATGCGGCAGAAAGTTAGCTTTGAGATGAGCATAAAAACCGGAAAACCCTAAAATATCGATTTTGGACCCAGACGCTCCCCTTAAGTTTACACGGACTCGGAGCATACAAAAATTATCAATCTAAATTCGTTCATTTTCGGCAATCTTAATCGTGGTAAGACCACTCAGAAATCAGTTCTAAGCTACAGTATCTCGTATCATTATTACAATTGATTGCACAAACTGTCAATGCGATTTATATTTCAAGGCTTCGAAATTTCAAATATTAGCCAACTCCAAAAATTTTGGATATGCCATTTTTGAATGTCTCAATTTTATTTATATTATAAAAATATCTCATCAGTGACGTATAAGAAATGTGAAAAAGCTCTTAAATTAACGTCTGTCCTAATGGAATATTATTTTGTTTCTAATGAATATTAGAAAATTTATGTCATGCTATCTTAATGTTTGATTGATACAATGATACATGATACAAATTTATGATCGTACTTAGAAATCTTATCATCAAACTAGTGATTTGTAGCTTCAGTAACTCTGTTATATGCTAGACTCATCCCACCCAATAACTTTCTAAAACGATTCGTAATGTCCGAATCGTTTTACCTTTATTTCATTTGCCTCTCAACACGCATCTCTGCTTTTAGCAACATTTCATCCATTATTTTCATTATCAATCACCAATTATTGTCGAACTACGTATGAAAATGAGGCAACTATTAGGAGGACATTCGACGGTCACATTAGGTTGTTAATTTGTTTTATAGGTTCAGTTTCAAAAATGTAACTAGCAATTTAAGTCTTTCATGGATAGCTACAAATGAAAGAACAAGTAAAAGTTTAGTCAAAATCTAAACTCTACATTTTTTGCTGTCAAGTAAAAATTATAAATTACAGAAACTTACCTTATTACTCATTCTTGGGAAATTTTCTGATAAATTGTTTTGGGGAGTCCGAATTTCGGCTTGAACGAAGAAATCCTGAGAGCAAAGATGGATGTCGTTAATACCCGAAGTAAAAACCAAAATGAAAATTGAAATGTTTGTTCCAAAATCTTCCGATTAAATTCATTTGATTGCATCGAACGTAAAATATTGTAGAGAAAAATTAAAATAACAAATTGTGTTTCATATTATATTTTCAATCTATGGTTGCACCCGACAGAACATATGGATCAGTCTTCTACATCTTCTTGAAATTTTACTAATCTACTTCTCATGCACAAAGCTAATTCGTTCCAGGTTAATTTTATCATTTGAAACCATTTTTTAGACGACACGAGGCATGTTTTTCATACTGAGATAAGAATTTTGAAACTTTATAAGATACCGTTTACATTCCGAAACATTCGCCTCAATTTAAATTCGGTTAAACGAACACGTGGTCTAATACATGTACGTGCAAGACTTCATTCCCCAAAAATCAGTTCGTGCCGCGAAGAGATGTTATTTCAAAGAGTGCTTCAGGAAGATTTTGTCGTTTTTTCCACTAAAATTGTTGGATCGAACGAGTCATCGAGAGTCGTATGTGGACAACCAACGCAAGGAGCTAAACAGGACTTTGAATCAATTTTGTGCGATTCGAAGGATGACAAAAAGAAGTGAAGAATACTGAGCCAAAAACCCAGCAGATTCGTATGGGTTCTTTGTTTTCTCTAACGTTTTTCAGCGAACGCTTAACTTTCTCTATCACTGCGAACGAAAAAAATTCATCTTTTGAATAAAGTTTATTCATTAATGGAATTATGTTATTCAATTCCTCGAGGAAAAGACAGCAGAAATTGTCAAAAAATTGGACGTTTACAATTAGCAACCGTTGAGCTTTCTGCAATAGCTATACGACTAGAAAAAAGGTATCTGGACCAGGAGAACATCCAGTATAAGTGAGCAGATGTACCAACGTCCAAATTAATATTATATGCATGCCACATTTGCTCATCTGTATGCCTAGAATTACATATTTATTGGCCATTACTGCTACAATGCCAGTGACTGTGATAGATTCCTCGTTATTTTGTTGGGAATTATACCTTCGCCAGTGGAACACCAGTTCTAGACATTATCTCAAGAAAGCGCTAATTTAAGATGCAATCGATGCATGGCGTCTTGAGTTTTACAGGTCCCAGGAATAATTTAGTTTCCGGCCAAATTTTCTTCAAAGAAAGTGCAAACGCGCAGGTCGGCAGCCGAGTGCAGATTCGAAAAACGAATACTGGGCGACAAAAGACTTTGGTATAATCCATTAGGTGTAAGAACTGTGCTTATCAAGTGCTTGAAATTCTCACAAACTAAGCTCGTTAATGATGTTCACCTTATTTCTCCCAATATATAAATGCACAAAGTGCTAAGTAATAAGTTGTATTCTTGACTGTACTAATTATTGATATATCTGTGTTCTAAAATTTTCGAACTGACGATGGAGCTGGACTCCGAAACGTTTTCTTTAAAGATACTATGAATTTTTGTGGAGTTTTCTTTGCTTTTAAGTTTCACAAAGTGCTTTTATAGGCGTACCCTGGACGTGGGATGGCAGGTATGTATGTATTTAACTGTTGCCACATTTGAATCATTTAATTTTCACAGCAATTTAGGGATTAAAAACTTTGGCAGTCAAGATTTAAGATTAAAATGGAGTTGGGTAAGGATCTAACATTGGGCACTAATAAATAACCCTTCAATCAAAACAGACATTTACGGGGATTTGAGAGAGATTTGAGGTACTGGCAAGGAGTAATAGCTATTAAAATATTTCTTCGTAGTGGAAGGGTCATTACTATATTACATTATATTAAAAGTCTTTATGTTAAAAATGTACATAGATAACATAGAGACATTTTCTATGTATACAGGGAACTGACATCGAAATATATTGGACTTGCTTAAGCACTCAATCACAAGCGAAATAATATGCGTTTAAAAAATTATTTTTAAAGATAACACTTCTAAAGAAGCCAGTGTCTCCGATGTTACACAGGTACAATGAATTTCTTATTAGAAATTTTGTTCCGTATAATGAAATTCATGTTCCGTTTTAATTTAACGGTGACCTTAAAGATTAAGTTAGATTAGTAGTATTGATGGCGAGAGAACTACTGAAGCATTATGATTAATTTTTTTGACAACTTATGTGATACAGAGGTGACTCAAATGGTATTATTGCCATGGCTGCTGTATTGCTAACAGTAACCAAAGTGCAATTCACTTCCTATTGTATATTGTGATTTAATGCATGCTATGGGCACCTTGTCAAGTTAATGCATGCCACGTTACTCCTTTGGTCTGACCCAACACTTTAAAGACGTCTCTGACGCATTAATTGTACTGGCTGGATTGCTCGTTTTTGAGCCTTAATTCTATGCCCTGTGGCGCATTAACCTAAATACTAACTTAGCCAATTTGGGTCATCCATTCATTAATATCTTAACTATTGCACTCAATTGCACTGTCAAACACCTTTATACCTCTGAACGGCTTTCAAGCCACTTCTAAATGGACCACAGCGGGAATAATTTAGAAGGTTAGTCTCGCAACGTTTAATGATGCCTTACATAATTGACGTATATATCTTGATCCTCATAATGAAGAATTGAATCCGATACAATAGCGCTTACATGTCTGTCCAATCTGATTCGTAACTGTTAATTTACAGCATAACCTCCGGTTTTCTCGTTGCATCTCTTTTGCCGTGTGCTACGTGCCTCAAGTGCAGCCAGCGCGACATTATTTCTGTTGTAAACGTTGCTTCATTTGAGGTTAGACTGGGAAAATGCGTTCACTGTTAAGTTTTGTACCGCTAAAATGGAAATACTGAGTATAAATGCTATAATTATTTCTTAAACTCCGGCATTCTTATAGTAAGTTGCATTTCTCTAATTTCAGTTCCTTCAACTGCATCCACTGCAATTCCGTTATTCTACTTCGCTGGATCCGAAATTTTATCCGTTGTAGTTTCAATAAAATTGTTAGCCGTTATGGTTGCCTAATTCCTTACATTCTTACTTTATTTTTGTATATTTTGTACATTGTTTTATTGTAAAAAATGTAAATTTTTTAAATTATTTATGCTGTCAATTGATTCATTCATTGTCTCCGACTTTACGCAAGTGTGCAAAATTTCAGATCAATTAGATAGGTTGAAGTGTGTTAAATATCGATTATAAGATTTGTAGCAGAGAAACAAACAAGAAGTAAAGTTAAAGTTAAATGTTTTAAAAAGCAAGCCCACCTAACCTAACTAGGTGGCAAAACCTATAAAAACAACTAAGCCTAAAAACCTAACCTACGTAACAACTAAGCGAGGCAAAACCTATATATGAAGGATTGAAAACAATCTAAAAGTCACTCACGCGCCATATCCGCGCTTGAAAGTCGAATTGAAATTCCGTGCGAGAACTGCGGCTCGGCTTCATATTGCAGAGAGATCATTGCTTCTTTTGTGTTGCACTAGACGCAGGACAGCTTGAATAATTTACGTGATTACGTGACATGACATACAATATAAGAGGCAACTTATTAACCTGTTAAACACGTTATTGGAGCGATGAAACCTCAGCCACGCAAATTAAATGTGATTCGAATCAAATCAACGAATACAAGTACTAGGAGTAATCGAAATTTTAAATTTTGCCATTTTGGGAAAGGGATTAAATATCATAAATAAATAAAAACTCTGTCGTGGGTATAGTGGTAAAAAAATATAACTCAGTACTCACTGCAGTGAGTGACAGAGAGCGCATTTTCTCGTCGACGAAAACGTAAAGTCACGGACGGACGGACAGACGGACAGGCAGACGGACGGACTGACATGGCGAGCACAATAGCGCATTTTTTCATAAATGAGAAAATGCGCTAAAAAGGATGAATAAAAATGTTAAATAAAAACTATAATAAACAAAACGACAAAAACATATAAAGACAAGCATATAACCGTGTGTTCTCTTTGTTCTAGTACTTACTTTGGACTCAGGATTCGGAGCCTTTCAGAAATTAATAAATAAACAAGAATTTGGAACTAGCAACAACAAAGGCAGAATCTAATGCAAGGGAGATAAATGAATATCAGAATGCTAAATAATAATCATGAACACCCCTAAACACCACTACTGAATTGGACAAGAAAATTATCACAAAAATCAAGACACCAAATATAAAGTAACGCGCACCTCCGTGGTGGATCACACAGCAACGAGTAAGTGCAGAGCATATCTGAACGAGGTCACGTCTGAGGTGACTTAAAACCAAAAAATCCAAATACCTAACTGCAATAAAACACTAGTACAGTGTGTCCCCTAACAACTCTTATTATAAGTTTCCTGAAGTTGCATCTAAAACTTTCGGAAAATATCAAAAACTTTGAAGGCGGCGCATCGGCGTGACCTTGGACTACGAAGTCCAAAACTCATCATAATGTCACAAGGTCTTCATTTAATGTGCTACTTGTGCTGAAATCCGGAAAAATTCTTACTTCAAACTCGAGCCAAGAAATTTAAACAGTTATTCTAAATTTATTTTAAGCACGCCACAGGAAAAAAATTCGAAATTCGTAAAAAATAAACCGTTCAATGGATTTTCAAAATTAAAGGAGAATATCAGAGCAAAGATATCCCAGAAAATTGGTCTGGAAAGGGAATCCGTCTGTCGGAGTTGTCTGAGATTTTTGCCCACACTTTAGAGTAAAAATACTGCGCTCATAAAGTGAAATAAAAACACTGCAGTCAAATAGTGGAGTAAAAACACTGCGCTAATATAGTGGAGTAAAAACACTGCGCTCTCTATAGCAAGATGTTATACGAGTCAAATCGCGCAGCTTATTTGTAGTAACAAATTCCAGAATCATCGTAGTTTCCTTAAGCTTTTCATTAAATTATTATTCTCTTAATTTGAAACTCCTCAAAGTCTGCCACGTTTTTTTCTAAACTAATCTCGTGACATTTACATGACATCAAATCAGTCGTTTTTCTACACTTTATCATCGAATAAGGTTTGAAATTATCAGAATTACGTTGTCATCGCTACACTGGCACATATTGCATCATCACCTGCAGTCTTTCGCACGACACCAGCGCTTCCGCCCCGGAGGATATCGCAGCCGGAAGGCAATAAGTCATCAGTATCCCGACGCTACTGATCAGAGAGCCTGTCACGAAAACCTGAGAAGAGAAAAAACGGCTTTGCAGAGCATTTTTGCGTATTTTCTACATCAATAACTTTTGTTCACACTGCAACCAGTGTAAGTTGGCTCTAATAACGATCACCAAAACTTTTACATGAAGTTCAGAAATATTTTTAAGCAAGGTTGTGCGCTGATATTAGTAAATCCAATAAAGTCAAACTTAAATTGTCTAATCTAATGATATTCATCATATTTTATCTTTCAGTCGTAATAGTAATACTGAAATTATTTTTCAATATTTCAGTTCAATATTTGTGTATCTTTATTCATGAGATTTGCAGTAGTGTCTTGAATTTAATTCGTTTACTAAACTTACTTACTTCTCGTATCATTAATATTAACAGTTATGCAAAAAAATTAATATTTTAAATTAATGATAAAAACAGATACCGCTACCATCCAAATCAATATTGAGTGGAACCACGAGGAAGCTTAATACTTTTTCAGCGGTGACTAAGCTCCCTGTGAGCACGTAGGTTATGACTGTCAAACAGATCGCCAGCTTAGCAGAGGTGAAGAACATGGCGTCGTTGACAGCTTTCAGGAGACTGCTTCTACGGATAACGCCGATTTCTTTTCTGTAAAAGTCATATTAATCTTGATGGTCGATATGTTCCTTGTCACTTAAATAAAATCGAGTGTTCCTGCAAGCGAATTTAGTCGTAAACAATCATTTTGTTTATTCACTATGTCATGATATTATTCTAGACTGCTGGATAGATATTCACTATATAGACTGCTGATATTATTCAAGATATTCACTAGACTGCTGCGTTCAGCATAATGGATAAGCTAAACTTGGATCAGATTGCAAAGATTTGTAGCGCAATTTTAAATTTATACTTAATCTATTCGTGTAATTCAGTGGTTCCCAAAGTGGGCGGCACCGCCCCCCTGGAGGCAGTGGAAAGATCTAGAGGGGGGGCGGTGAGGAAGAAGGGTGTGGTGGGAGGCGGCAGACCAAAGTCGAAGTCAGAAGTTCGAACGGTTGTTAAACGATTTGTACACAACACGTGCAGCACATGACATCCCAGCGATGGGTTTTTTCACTTAGATATGGGTTTTTTGAACCTCTCCTGGGCGTACTGGTACGCGCTCGGACAAATTTACGGCCGGATTCCCGGCCGGTCTCACGGCCAATTTCCAAATTCAGTGATCAAAAAATATCTCCCAAACTAATGAACTTAACTTGATGAAACTTGGTACACGTATTCATTAGAACCTAACGCTGATGTTTATCTCGTGAAAATTTTTTTAATTCCGCCTTCATTCGTAAGTTATATGCGGAATTCATTCGTGAGTTCAAGAAATTTCTTCCAAACTAATGAATAGATTAGAACGAAATTTTGATTATACATTCCTAACTACCGAACAGTGATGTTTAGCTCGTGAAAATTTTTTCAATTATGCCTTCGTTCACGAGTTTTTTTTCATTTTTCCTTCAGTCGTGGTTTAAACAGCAATACGTGCTTAAATTCGCAGTGATCATGAAATTTCTTCTGAACTATTGAACAGATTTGAAAGAAACTTAGTATATAAATACCAAACCTCAGCAACGGTGATGTTTAGCTCGCGACAATTTGTTCGATTTCGCCTTCGTTTGCGAGTTATACGGCTATACGTAAAGCTCTTTACGTTAAAGCTCTATTATAGCTCTCCGGCCGGTCGAAATACCGGTCGTTTTTCAGTACATCCGCATAACTCGCGAACGAAAGCGAAATAGAAAAAAAATTTCACGAGCTAAACATCATCGTTGCTGAGGTTAGGTATTTATATACAAAATTTCGTTCAAATCTGCTCAGTATTTTGTATGAAATTTCTTGATTACCGCGAATTTAAGCGACAAATTACCCAACGATATGGGTCGAATAAAGAAGTGTGAAATCACAAATGACGGAGAAATGATAAAGAACTCGCAAGCGAAGGGATAATAAAAAATTTTTTCACGAGCTAAAAATCACCGTTTGGTAGTTAGGAATGTATATTCAAAATTTCGTTCGAATCTGTTCAGTAGTTTGGAAGAAATTGCGAATTTCGGCCCGTATCACCATATAACTCCCGAATGAAGGTGAAATTAAAAAAAATTTACGAGCTTAACATCACCGTTATGTTCCAATGAATACGTGTACCAAGTTTCATCGATCTGCGTTTATTAGTTTGGGAGATATTCCGTGATAATGGAATTTGGAGATTAGCCCTGAGAAAGTCCACGAAAGAATCCTGACTTTTCTCAATGTATGTCTCTTGGAAGCATTTTTGGAGTATCACATCGCGCTACCTGTCCTTGGTCTCGGCTTGACAAACATCAACTCAGTTTAATACCGGTTTAATGTACAATTTGTAAGGCTTCTGAGAATTGGCCACATTGGCGTCTGAAGAACTTAAGATTATCAAGAAGGTACCCACTGTGATAATCGGACCATCAAGGTACGAATTTTAGGGATGAATCCTGAATATCATACCAAGAAATTTTTGAATTTAGATTATTGTGAAATTTATAAATATAATTCATCTCATGAATTCACCTTGAAATAACGTTAATTTATGATGAGAATTTGTAGCCTTATGTTGGATACCTCAGAGATTGAAGTGAACCTACTAAACATTCGATACAACAAGGTGTGAGATAAAGTTTATGTTGATTACTCACTTCCTAGCCTCAGAAACGAGTGCGATAAAGCGATGCTCCCAAGCAAACATTTTGATGACCTTGATGGCGTTGACGATCACGTTCTGGATGCGCACGCGGTCGTCCGTGCGCTGCGCAGTCATTTGACGCAGTCGCGCAAATACACGTCCCATGTAGCCTGAGGTAGCCATCTAGTTTCACATGAAGTATATTTTTTCGTGTTACGTTGAATGTGCGTGTAGGTAATAATAGCTATGCAGGAGTTCCAGTAAAAAAATGCCCCTATATTTGGTATTGAGCTTTCTTCAAATAAAAAGACTACAGTTGATTAGATACTCGAATTCTGTAGGAATGACCTAAGTTATTTCAATCAACCATCTCTGTGTTCTGATGGCGCCAGTAGCAATTAAAGAGATTCTGTTGACGGTATGCTGTGCTATGTGCATCCTCATGCCGAAGCTGCATGATTGTGAAAAGGGTGATTAATTGTGAAAAGGGTAATTATGGAGACCGCATTACTAACTGTATCTGAAATAACGCGTAAACTAAGATTGAACATTGTTATCAAAAGCGGATATTTTAGTATTCGGTGCCATTGAGAGTAAGTTCGAAAGTAGCGCAATAATTTCGCCTAACCTATAATAAAATACACTAAAATAATAAATTGCAGTGAAACCGTACATAACAGTAGGAGAAGCAGGCAGTAGGCGCCACTGAATGGGCGGTTCGCAGTTTTTCCCTTTAAGTCACGAATGAGTCCTATGTTGACCAGAAACCTCATGATACGAAACATTTCATCACTATCAATTTATCTTTGGGATATTTCATCATTGTAGCAATGTGCCATAAAATTTCCTAAGTGCATAAAGTGCACTTAGGTTAATTTAGTGTGTTTAGTTTAATAGTGCTAGGTTAATTAAGAAAAAGATGAAATGATGAACTGTCACAATGACGAAATGCGTCAATGATGAAAATGTCATAAGGTGCCAGGGATCCGAGTCTTATTGATACTCAGTTCGCATCTACGGGTTTTATCGTATCTCGTGAATGTTATGGTCATGTTCTTGTTCGATGGCTTAGTCTCCTCCTGTCTTTGATGGTTTTTTATTGTAGACCAAACGAGACAAGAAGCTATACCCTGATGAACAATACAAATTTGCACAATTGTCAACTTTTAGTTGAAATCTAGGGAGATATATATCAGACAAAAGGTGAGCTTTAAAATTTTCCGAAAATAGCATTCATAACAAAAAGAGAAGTAACAAGTAAACTCTAATCAATACGAAATTTCAGTAATGAATTTTATGCTTTTTAATAGGAGAGAACCAAAAGGCAGTTGATGTAGTTATATGGAACGGCTGTCCGTTGACGAAAAACGTCAGCCTAACGATCGAAGGAATAACTCGTGTGACCAATCACTGTACTTATTACTTAGGTATCGTGTAACTGTTACCTCTCAATCAGTGTTATGCTATTGAATAGAAAATCATGTGATCGAATGGATTTTTGCTCTATATAGACTATAATAGGTGAGGCTATAATAGGTGGTCCCTGAATTTTGTTTGGGTCTAACGTCACTTGCTCCGCGTCTAGAAAATTGAACGTTCTCTATTCCTGGCGCCTCTAATGCGTCCAACTTCGTGACAGCTGTTCTTTTACTTGTTGCCATGTACGCACAATTAGAACTACTGAAAATAATTAAGTAAGAAAAATAAGTAGGTATTGAATAAAAATAATTTATTATTAGCTGCATTTTATAAACTTTGAATATTGAAAAGTTATCTGAGATTTCACTTTGGCAACATCTCCTGTGATAACAGATAGCGAATGTGAGATCTCCTAGACGGCCACTAATCATGCAGCTGTGATCGGTGTCGGAGATTCAATTGCTTTACCTGTCGTAATTACCTGTTCGTTGGTCTTACTTCATGCCTTAAAAACCTGTGTGTACCTGCTTACGGATATATTCCGATTGTTATATATGTCGTGCCGAAATCGCGGAATTGCCGATTACGTGGAATCTTCAGCCAGTTGCCGTATGTGTGTAGATCAGCATTTCTATATTATAGGAATCTGGGGTTAGGTCAGTCATAAAATTTTTTTTTAATATTTAAATACAAAGGAACTTGACCGAACTTGACCTGACCTATTCTAACTCTAACTGTCGATTTATATTCTAACTCTAACTATAACGTCCGATTTTCTGAGTCAGCAACGAAATGCTGATTTACACGCATTCGGCAACTGGCTGCCGATTCCACGTAATCGGCAATTACACGATTTCGGCACGACATATATAATTGTATATTTATGCAAAATTTTTTCTTCGATACAAGAGCAGAGATTATTTTTTATTAACAAATTTCATATTGTTTTTCTCCATTCGGCTAATCATACTTTTGGTTTGATTAGAAAGCTCGAATAACAGGTTTCCATGGGACATTTTATCGTAATTTTTATTCACGACGCTTCTAATATTCAACATTCATTATCAAGTAGGTAATGAGTTTTACAACACTTGTAATTTAAATTTTGGAATGAAATTACTACCATTAGATGGGTATTATGGGTACAGACGAAAACCTAAGCTAAAAAAATTACCCAGAGAACGATTTCAAAGTTCTGACAAATCCGGTGGTTTGCCAATTGATAGCTGCTGACTCATCCTCAATGATTCTAAACTAAATGATGGGCCCGATTCGTATTTATCTATAGCTAAATTCAAAATTAATAATTTATACACCAATGGAAAGCTTCATTTTTTACAATATGTCACCCTTGTAATGACTGGTAGAGGCGGGACGTAATTAACAGAGTTGCTGGTAGAGGCGGGACGTAATTAACAGAGTTGCTGGTAGAGGCGGGACGTAAACAGAGTTGCTGGTATGCGGGATGTAAGCAGCTTCCTTGACGTAACCCATAATTAATAGTCACATGGGGTACGATCAAGTGATCTCGGTGGCCAGAAGTGCAGAGCAAAAATCTTATTTCATATGCTTATGTGGGACGGGTTTGGCTACCGTTTTTAGATGTTTGCCGTGCAGCACAAGGGAGACATATTGAACATTTATAAATTACTTTAAAATACTTTTAATGTTTTTTCCATTGCTGTATAAATTATTCATTTTTAATTTATACTGAAATAAATACGAATTCACTAAATTGGGTCCATCATTTAGAATAAACCTGTGTATATCTAATTATCTGACGTTTATTTGCTTTAACAACGCCGGTGTTTCTAGTGTGTATTTATCTTTTATGTTTATTATGCACATTCTCTCAATAATTGCAACTTGTTGCCCCTTCACAATTGAAACCAGTGAAACGATCCTAGAATATTGTTGAACCTCCTCTTTCACTTAGAACTCAGCATGATAGGAAGGGGAAAGCATTGCTGAACCGTTCTAAGTGACAGCGTCTTTCGGGGAAGTCGTTACGATTAGAAAATACAGATTCGTGCATCTGTTTATTTGATTATTATTACCTTGCATGCCTTTGCCCTCTCTATAACAAAGTTTGGTTAGGTTCATGGTCCATAATACTCACACTGAAGAGGGATGAGGATGATGAGAAGAGTTACACCTGTCAATCCCGTTGGTCCAAACATGTGGGAGAGCACTACCATCACCAAGCATAACTGCACGCGAGCCAGAGCGGAGATGGAAAAAGTAAGAAGATTCGTCTGTTAAAGTGTAACTCTTGATTTGATCATTATTTTGATCTGCTGAAATCACAAACAATAAAGCCTGACGAGAGTGGAAAACATGTTCATTGATTTTCAACATAGGTTGGGCTCTTCTATTGTTTGGGATAACAATGGAGGAACGAATCTTTAAGTAAGACTATTTAATGCCAACCTGCAATGGAGCAATCCATAGATAGTCGAAAAATACAAGAGTTGTATCGAATCTTTGCACGTCGTTGGAAAGGAGGTTCACTATTTTTCCCACAGTTGAGTTGGCAAGGGCTGACTGGCTCAGTCGCAGTGACTGTATATGAAATATAAAAATTCAGTTTTACTGATAAACTATGGATATTGTGTGGTTCAATTTGAAGTTTGACGAATACATAATACTAGTAAAATGATGATAATATTAATAGTAAAATGCAAACAAAGATTTCGTGATAATATCACGGAATTCTTAGTTTTCAAATACCATTTAAATCAAAATATTCTTATAGATTTTTTGATAGTTCAATTCAAAAATTAATTTATGTATGAATAATTAAGATATTCCCCTCCCAGCACAAAGTAATTGAACTTGTAAACAAATGTTATTTTGTAGTTTTACGTTATTTTTTTGCCAAACCTATCAGTACATACTGTTGCTTAGAGAGTTAATTTTATATTTTGATGGTTGTTGGTAAATTTCCGTAATAGTGATGTCCTTAATATCCGTGTTCGATCAAAATTAATAAATCTTAAGTGTCCACTCAAGTTAAACACTATTTGCATTCACCAAACTACGCGTTTCTAAAGTTGATAAATGACTAATAAATTTCATTTGAAACTGGAAATAATTGAACTACAAAAATAAAAAATTAATGCATGACAAACAGTGAAAAATCTCTCATAAATGAATAAGTAAACAACTTTATTGCAACACACGCAATCTGAAATTGAATTCAAGACGTGAATTTCTCCGAACGCATTGAGGCTCATAAACCATTTAGAACGATATTTTCTGTCTCTAAGTAATAAAATTACAAACTTTTCTGTAGATGAGACCACAACTGGCAATCCTCATTTTCATGCCGATAATCCGAACGCTATAACTGTGGTAGTAATAAGTAAAGAGGTAGAGGAGCGAGCAAAGGATGATGCCTGTTCCGAACGCCCAGCCCTTCCACACTTCCTCGTACCCCTGCACGCCGCCCAGGTGGCGGAGCAGCTGACCAAGTAACACCGGCTGCGAGATTCTGCGATATTTTCGAGGAATCATTTAGGTTGACGCCAATCATTAGTCAACACTTGAGCTCGGAATATTAATTTAGAGTACCATAAAGTTGAACATTATTTTAGAATGCTTGAAACTATTCATTTCATGCGCACTGAAACAATTCGGTGCGTATAGAAACTACGCACCAAAGTGACTATCCCGGCTTGTTCCAAAATGAGTTGCCGAAGGCGTCTATAAAATGCCCCTCAGCCAGCCGGAGCGCGTAATTAAAAGCTACTTTTAGCGCTTAA